AACTTATGCTCCGCTCTATCATAATTAGTGAATCTATTGCTAACATTTGCTAACATTACTCAAAATAGACGCTAAATTGCGATTTTCGCTATCAATAGCATCATTTTCAGTCCACAAAAAAATGATAAGAAAAATGAAACAGTAACGATAAGAAATAGATGTAATAGAATGGTATATCCGCTCTTGCATTACATCTAATTCCTGCCTGCATAGGTAGTGCTCAAATAGTATTACATCTGTACAGAAATAGTATTCAACACTAAAGCTATAGATATAGGTAAAATTTGTGAATTTGCCAATTTCATTAAATAATAATAGTATTAGTTAAAAATAAATGAGATTCTATCATAATCATAACTTGATGGTTATATATTATATAACATTGTTATATCTAATCCTTAAATAAATGATTTTAATGCAGTATTGATAGTATTCTACAATCATATTAGATCTATACAACTAGAGCCGCTTCGGTACTTATGCTTTTTATTAATGCACCTAATACAATCAAACGTCTAATACTACAGTTTCAACAACTTTACTGTCAAAAATGGACAGTAAAAGGCTACTGTAGCTCAGTTGATATTACTAAATGCTTCTAAATTCGAATAAATCTTATATAACCTCATGCACTTAAATATAACGAAGTTAGGAACGTTTATTAGAATTTATGTAGATAATATTGAAGCTAAGCTATAGCTAAGAAAACAATTTGATATATGTTAATTACTATTATAGTCAAAATTGAAATTAGATCTTAATGTAGCCTAATCTTCATGGTTAAAAGATACAATGTGACGTTTGCCGCAATTAGAAATAACCCGGCTAGTAAGCTTTGTACATATCTAATTAATTATCGCCCAATTCGCGTATAGAATGATTTAATTTAAAAATAAAGACGTTAGTGCAAAGTAAAGACAATTCTTAAGTTAACCTTACTGGGAATCATGTGGATATCTATTCTGCTGTAAAGCATGTTTTTAGTCATCTAATCCGGTTAGATTTTGCTGATCATTTTTAACTTACGAAAAGGCATATCGAATATCGAATATTTTAAAAAACCCAAATTTTACCATACTTCTTAGGTTGTAATCAGTTTTCTTATTTTTATATATTGCTATTTTCGTTGTGTGATAGGTCCAATGGCCAATACTATAAAGTGAAGTACGTATACAATATAATATTTTTGAAAAATTACGTTCAGATCCCGGACAATGTTGACCATATTAAAATTTAATGTAAAGCGTTATTACCTTTTATTGTTTATAGTCAGTCTACTCAATTTCAATATATTTACTACAGTCATATTCTTAATTATTAAAATTGAAAACTACACCATAAGATAATAGGTGTTGGATGGTAATACAAGAAGTAAAAGTGAAGTTATAGTTTATGGATAAAGCTTTTCTATGAATTACAGACGAGTAATATTAGGGAAAAGAGTACCTCTGAATAATATTTTATAGCAGTTGATAGATTAATATTTGCTGACAGACACGTAGCTTGTTAGAATTTTAATATTCAAACATTTATCTGTCTAGACAATTTGAAATTTCTCAACTAAAAATACACCATACGAAATTGGCGAAGACATAATATGGACCGATTATGTATGTATATATATACGCGTATACTCTAGTAATTATAGGACTTAAGGTGTCACTATTCAATATATTGTAATCTAAAAATAATTATGAATCGTCTTCAGAAGAAAGGAAGTGTATCCTATATTATTATTTGAAATATCATCTATAACCAACCCTATTTGTATAATGTCATAAGTAGAAATAAAAAATGTAATCCAGATTTCAATTACATTTAATTTTAATCCAATAGCAACGATATTTGTTTGATGCTTAGTGCTTTAAAGCAATGCAAACAGGAAATATTTGGAATTATGGGATGATTTTCAAGCTTTATAATATTACATAATGATAGCAAAATTATTTGGTTTCAATCATCGACGAATTTTAATAGCTAAATTAAAATAGTAACATACTACCAAATATTACTTAAATTATTGGTTATAAATTGATTTTAAATATTAATTATATAAAAAATCTTCTAATGTTTTGTAAAATTTACTCAGAACTTACGATTTCGCTAATTTATTTCAATGGAAGGATTAAAATTAAGAATAAACTGGAAATGATTGAGAAAATGAAAAAACCTGGATCAAAATATGGTAGCACGATATCAAAAGAAGGATTATAAATTTAATTAAATGTTTACTCAACAGCAGTTATGAGAGCACTCGAATCATCAATGCTATAAATGTCGAGCCATTGCATGCTTTTCAATTTTCGTATCTACTCCTAGGATATCTGGGCAACAATTAAATATAACCATCAAGTTACGAGAATAACCTTAAAAATTAATAGTATATAAAGTATAATTAATTAGCCATGGTTTAACTCAGTAAATTTAAATACCCGTTATTAACATAAATATTTGTAGCGATGTCATATATAAAATATTTCTCATGTGGTTTTATTTTATAATATCTCTACCTATTCAAATTAAACTAAGCCGTAGCCATTGCGACAATAGATGTCCGATGTATCGCTGTTAATATAGATCTTAGAGTAAGTTTTCGTTTCGAATATATTAATTTGTTGTTTGGATAACCACATTAGAAAGGCGAATAGCAATCTTATCAACGAAAAAAGGATAAAAGCTGCCGTTCATTCTAGAAGTAACTGATTTAAGACGAATATCGATTTTAAGAACTATTAAATTGAAACTTTTTTATAATTTAACATGCAAATATTGCTCACTTGAATGAGATGCCAGTCTATTCCAGCTTATGAGGTGATATTTGTACAGAAAAAAGTGGTTGCAATGACTCATAAATAACCCTTTTGATAATCTTAGCTTAAGTATTAAAGACAATTAACTTAGACAGTGGTCTGTACCAAGACATACTGGTAGTGTAAAGGTTAAGAAAAACGAAAGCTCAACACTGTAAGCATACCTAACTAGGGATAAATTATAATTAAAAGCAAAATTATTTAATGCCATTTAGTAAAATGTGTTCTACTATTGGGCAACGATTGCATAGAATCTCTACCAAATAAAAGTGAAATAATTCTTGCACTTAAACGATGAATAACAATGGAATGAGTATTAATAAGTATACATAAACAATTTTACTGAGGATTTTTCAAAGGCCATCGACTAGACTGATCCTTGTTGCCATATTAAAATTTGATGGCGAATAAATGCATTTTTGATAAGATAAAAATGTAGTTTATTAACGATCAGCTTTAGGATAAGTTAGCCTTCGCATGTATATCGCGATTCACACACCTATTAATTTTATTGCGTTATAATGCAATAGTAGTGGTTAATGCCCAAATAAATGGTAGTTTTTCCATTTTTTCTGGGGATTATTAAACGGAGAATAAATATGATGAAACAGCTGGATAAAATTATCTCCAAATTTTACGAATTAATTATTTAAGCTTATGTGATACCATCAGTATTTAGATTTCGATACAGTAACATAAACAATAAATAAAATTAGCTTGCAGGATCATTACTCCAAATATGTAGGTCACCAGGTTTTATATGTTTGATTAGCTGAATTATATTACTTCTTAACCATAGAGATGCATGATGTAAAGAAACTATTAATGCAATGAAAAAAGCAATAAAATTTTACCGTCTAGTAATGTTAGTGCAATACTTAATATTGTATCAGCATAGAAAAGTGATCATTCCTATGTGAAAGGTATCGAAAAATGAAGATGGCAGAGCTTTAAAGCACAGTATATTTGTTGAGATTCAAAATCAGTTTTGGAAATTTTATAAAATCTAATAGCTGCAATAAATTTATCGGAAATTGATTAACAAGCTTAACTATTGAAAAATTAAGATACTGGAGATCGTGATTGGTAATACACATGCAAGAGCTGAAATAAAATTTCAAGATTTGTATAAAGTCTATAAAAATCAATAATTTAGGCTAAAATTATCACAACCTGGTGCTGCAGGCAAAGAGTAATTGGATTAGAAAAATCTAAAAGCTTATTGGGATGAAATGATAGAGTAGCTATAGTTTAACGAGTAACAACACATACTATTATAAAAGAATTTAGGCTACTTGAAATAGTAAATTATCGTTGTTTTAGGATATTTTGTAAACTAGATCCATATTTTTAAGGAGAAACTCGTCATATTCATGTACAACAGAGAATGGAGGTCCTCATGTAATCGTTGAAATAAAATACTTGTACATTATTGCAAAAATTACTGTCTACTTGGTCCTCTATTACTTTAAGTGCTAAATTTACAGTATTCCATAAGCTATACCACAAATAATGTTCTTGGAACAGCAATACTAGATGTAATAAATGATAACTAACAGACGAGTATTAAATTTAGTTAGCTCTGCACTAATTTGAATTAAAGAGAATTGATATTTTGATTGAGTTGATGTTACTAGTTCAGGTAAAGGAGGGATCATATTCAACGGAAAGGGTAATCTTCTGACGGATGCTTAAAGATATTTCCTAATTTTGTTCGAATCAAATGATTATTTTTATTTTATGTAATACCATAGTACTGTTTATTTTAATAATTTCGGATAAGATTTATTAGATGTTAAAAGTTATTTTTCCAGCTTCACAAATGTTTGTATTTACCATAACTAGAATAAAAAATACAACATAGTGAAGAATGAATGTGTCGTCTAATATATCATTAGATCGTTAATTATCTATTTTACGATACAATTATACTAATGGACTATCGCAAATCAATACCCAGCATTTGATTGATATCATTAATAGTGCTGTACAACTAGCAAATCTAATATTCCCTTATTCTTTCACAGATACATGCAGTAGCTAAAGTTTTTCCTTGTACTTGACATTATATATTATTCTAGCACGTTATTTTAATATAGATTACGTTAGAGAAGATTCTTANATTAAGACGAACAGGATAGAAAGTCTGAAAAGTTCATACTGGTATAAATCCAGAAAAAAATTCATCTCACGGACAACATTCTTTTGTAAGTCTAGTTTTTCCGCAATGATGGCAATTTTTTCACTGGATGGTCGAGGTTCAATGGCGAAATAAGCTTCTAATGCCCTCTTTTCCATAGCTGCGATAGAAGTTCTTTTACGTTTTTTATCACTTCTTTGAGGTATAATAGTATTGTCGCAGTTACCGCTCATTTGCTTGGATTTATAAACTTCTTCTGCTTTCTCTAGCCATGCAGCCAAGACTGGTTTTAATGCCATCATATTGTTATGACTTAATGTCAACGATTCGAAGCGACAAATAGTTGATTGACTTAAGCAACCGACTCCAGCAATTTTTAAATTACCTAAAGCAGCGCCTACATCGGCTTGTGTTACCCCCAGTTTAGTCCGTCGTTGTTTGAAATTTTCAGCGAACAATTCCAATCCCAAACGCTCATTTTCGATATCCGATTGTTGGGAGTCGTTTTGCATGGAAATCATATTGGAAGCGCCATCATTACGCATAGGATCAAGGAGGCTATGATGTACCATGTTATGTAGAGCTGAATCTTTAAATGTTGCACCTAGTTGAGCTTGAAATTGATCGGTAGTGAAATGGCAAGGCATATGTCGTCGATCATGCTTGGAATGATCAGGCCCGCGAAATTGATCAAATTGTAATGTCCTGATAGGTCCAGGGCCATGTTGCTCAGGACGTTTTAAATAAGGATTACCATCAGTCTAATCATGAAATAATATTTAAAAAATTGTCTTTAATTAGTTGAATTATGTTTAATTAATTCTAAGACCTCGTGTAGGTAATATAGGATTGAAATAAATTTATGATATCAAGGTCAAGGTCGATAAAAAGTATAACGATAAAGGTCGTATAAAATAACAAGAGATACTAATAACAGATATGATTAGAAAGATTGATTGAGAGAATTAGATTAGCTCACACGAATGATACTGATTATCTAATCTACTACATGGGAGTTGACCACAAACTTCTATCTTTCAATGATAGCGTTTAGATCATTTCTTGTTTGTTTAGCCGAGTCTCTTGAAAGTTCATTAAATAACAGCATATGATAATATTAATATGTTGGATAGATAGATTACAAGAAAGAAGGTCACTCCAATTACTTTAGAAAATAAATAATTCTGCGAAATAGAAAGTTTTCATCCTTTTATTCACATGAAGTGATAACTTATCTAGTATGATTAATGCAGGAAAAATCAGTAATTTATATGGCTTGGAATGATTTAAAGTAGGCTCTACACGGACGTTTAAAATCTGCTTATAAAATGCCAATTAAGTTTTAAAATTGTCCCAAACTATTGCATATCCTACCATGAATTTGTTATGTAGTTTCAATGATAAAGCATGATTGTAGTCATTTAATAAAATAAGGTGAAATAAAAGCATATGGTATACTATACAAAGTCATAGATTACTTATCAATTTCAGTATTAGTATAGGAATAACGACATCAATAGAATGTTTTTATTCACTGTGTAAGAAATTATAGAAAATAATTTTGCATAATAATGTACTTGTACTAAAATTAGATGCAGCTTATGAGTATCTACAGGTAAATCGAATTTTTTATAACGTATATTTGAATGATAAATTATCGTAGAAAAAAGTGGCCTTTCATACAGTTAATGAATATTTAAAAAAAACTGCTAGAAGTATATGTAACGTTTATCAATTTTAACACAGAAAGATCCACTTACGCAATATCATGTATCGACCAACAGTTACACTACAAAAAGGAATGAAGACTGCTATTGTATATAATTAATAAACTTAATGGCAATAATAATTCAACATATTGAAGAAAATGGATCTCTTGTTGTATATTCAAAATTTTTAAAGCCAGAAATAAAGGATTATTAGTCAATGGTGTAAAACTAAAGTCACGAAATGTTTAAATATTCATGCCGAATTTAGTCCATGAAATTGAAAATATGGCGCTTAAATTTAAGATTACTATAGTTTTTATTGAAAACGGACAAAATCATCTTTTATTCTAGAATGGGATAGACGCAAGCTATTGGGATAATTTGCATTTTGAAAGAAATATATTTACGGTCATAATTCCACGGCATCAGATATCGTACTGTAGAATAAACACTGCCCTACTTTGCAACGACTGTTAACGCCCAGTAGTTACTACCAAAAATATCTAAATGTTAACTACTATTTAAGTAATGATAGAATTGGAAAGAAGGATAAGACATCAGAATATTGTTAAGTGTTTCATTAGGGGTTTATTTCTCTTAAATGTGTCTACCATCGTGGGGTTGGATGCGATAGCAAGCTTTTATTAGCTCATCTTAGTATTCAATAAGTGATATCTTTAAGATCGAAGCAGTTTTCATTATCAATGTAATACGGTCATTTTTCAAACATTTGGCTATTTCTTGATTGTATTTGGTCTATAGGAAGAAACTTAGGAAGAGTTAAAAAGAGAAATTTTCTAATTTGATTTCAATTTTAGTCTGGCGTAGCTATCTCTAATTTCTTTACTATCTATTATATGCTGATCAATAGACGCTATAATGAAACTTATTATCATTGCTGTTTAAAAAAATAGGATGCACTTCATTAGTAAAAATAATATTGAAAATGGTAAACTAAATTGCTAATTTTATAACATTTACCAGAGAGAAAATATAGAAATTAGACTCGTTAAGCTAGTTCGACAATATCAGTGGTGCAATAGAATTGAATATTTTGTCATACCAACGACGAAAGTAGTCTAAATTTATTGCAAGACTGGTAAATAAGAAGGATGATCACGAACATCGATTAATACATTTGAACTAATCCTTTAGTTAGCGAAGAAAAATAAGTCAATTAAGGAAAGGGATCAGACAAAACAAGAATAAGTAAAGAAACCAAAGTTAAAACCATTATTTATCCCGCTCGTCAATAGCAGTATCAAGTTAGTCGTCAATTACACGTCAATGAAATTATTCATAACATTATATTTATTGAGCTTCTTTATCCATTTAATACAAGCACCAAGTTTTTGAAATTATCCTCTTTCTTTCTTTTTTATTGATAATCGATCTTTTTCCTTACTCAGTCAAACTATCGGAATATTTCTAAAGTTATATAGTATCATTTTCTGTGTTATTGATCGCTTTCGCTTTTGTTTATATGAGTATCCTTATCTATTAGGGGACAAATAATGATTGTAATGTTCTATAATTGACTCTAAGCAATAATACAAAAAATCGAAATCAACAAGGGGCAAAATATAAGCAAACTGACGGATATTATCGTTCATTTTATGATGGAAAATGTCCATCATAACATGATGCTAAACTTTCTTATAATTTTACTGATATGCTCGTATCAATATAAAATGCCAAAACCAGTCAAACAATGAAGTAACAAAAAAATAGCAGAATAGAATATACAATAAGAATGGAAGAATAGTACAATAGTTCTATGCATTGATCAAAGTGCGACTATGGGACCTAATTACAGTATAACCTGGAGAACAATATCAGTTAAATTCAAGTGGTTAGTTGTTGTTTGGGGTTCTATACTAAGTTACATTGTATCATGATTAACGTCGAGAATACGCAACTTTTATTAGAGGCGACGATTAGTAGACAAACTATCATCAATTTTAATTGCGACCGTTAAATGCTGTCTTGTATTAAAATTATCAAAGGATAATAAAAAAGCATGGCAGTAGACGATGGTTGTCAACATAAAGTTGATAGCAGTTGACACGATTAATGACGATATAATGAATTTGTTTTCAAACGTTGATATTAATAGAAAAAATATTTTTACGGAAAATGACAAGAAATAGAAATGGGTTGGGAAAGGCTTGATATCGATGCTGACTTGATAGTGTATAGTGTTCATCCGTGTATTTACACTCGATAATAAATTGAAGATCAAGGCTTGACAACGACGTGACGAATTAGAATCAATGGAAATTTTAAAATATATTTCTAAAATTAAACTAGAACATCGATCACTAATCTATCTATCAGGAGAAATGAGTTAGTCGCTGATCTTTAGCCTTAAATATCCCTTCAAAAAATTCAGTTTATTTGTCTGTAACTCGTTTTAGTGCAGATGTTAAAAGGAACGATTATATTTTACTAGTCATAGTTCATGTTCTTGCAGAAAGAAAAAAGAAGGTAGTGCTGTTAAAGGACTGAAAAAAAAACGAATTCAAAATAATGTTGGATGGGTTATTGATTGATTGATTGATGATGGTAATCGAGCTTCCCCTTTACTATATAGCATAATGTATAGTCAGGACGTATTTATTAAGATAAAGGGTTGGTTAGTTATCCGATATCTACTGACTCATCAGACTGAGTTTACGGTCGCACCCACGAAAAGTTAATTTTGAACCTTGTTGTAATCAACTGCAGTTTGTTGTCTATATGTTGCATCAGAAAAATGTTGGATGTTTGATACTTGCAGTTAGCTTTTCTGCAAACTTTCTAGTAAAAGAATTAGGTGTTATCCTATGATGATAAAGTTAAAGGAAAAGTAGCCAACTGCTAGTTTGATATATTCGTATCGATATTAAAATAATTGATACAGTATCCAGTGTAACAATTCACTAAGAGTATGCTTAAAATTTCGGTTGGATAAAGGCATGTGATTTTATTCTAATATATAGTAAATAGAGGCAAGATAGAGGGTAGATTCATTTTGAAAAAGTACATCAAAAATAGAGAGGATTCATTTTCAATCTAGTTTTTAAATTGGAGTGTATAGTAATGACAGCGATGTTGATGCTATGCTCTATCGACCGCGTGTATTGATTTTCGATTGCACTTTTGTTCGTTTAGCTCAATAAATAGTTTCATTTATGGATTAATTTTTCTAACTGGATGAAAAGAGCTGTAAATATACTGCACGCAGTAAGTAGCAGTAAATTAATATTGATACTATCAAGATAGTAATAAGTGTATGTATTGAATACAATTGTACTATTGATACTACAATTTGATCCTCAAGTGCATTATAAAGTCGAAATTTGAAATGATCGAAGACAGTAGATGGATACAATTAGAGATGGTAAATTGTAGAAAAGATTATTAATTGCTGATCTTTTATCTAACGATAATAAAATAGAGAATATAACGAATGATTTCAATCTAAAAAAAAACCATTGGATTAGATTATCTTTGTAATGGAGATAGGTAGATGGCGAGAGATAGTACAATCAAAGAGAAGGAAAATGTATACTTTTAAAAAGAAAGTGAATTTGACAAAAGATAGACAGAAAAAGATCCTTATCATTGTAGCAATATCAAACTGTACACCAATCTATACGTTATGATCTGTTAGTAGATTGCAAGAAAAAAACCAGAAAAGTGGTTGTCGGTAATATGAATATAAAGGAGGTCAAAGGGGGTTTAAAAAATTAGACGAGTAACAAAGCAATTAACCACTAAATTGAAATGTGTTGAAAAGTTGGAATAACTTACATTAATGC